CAGCCACGCATAGAACAAGTCCGTATACTTCGGCGCATGATATATGGATATAGCGACACTTTATTCATTGCCAGAACTGGCTATGGAAAGAGCCTTATTCTTCAATCCTATACAATTCTGACAGGAAAGATAACCATTCAACTGGTTCCTCTAAACAAGCTTGGTGATCAGCAAACAAGAGATATAGCACGGTTTCCCGGTGCCAATCCTTGTCTGGTCAGTGCTGATAATCTCCAGGGGCAAGAAGACTTACTCAAACGCATTCAACAAGGTGAGTATACACATATACTGCTCAGTCCAGAGCAAGCTCTTTGCAAGCGATTTCAGCATGTTCTTCAAGACCCTACTTTACAAGAAAAGATTGGGCTTGTAGCTATCGATGAGTGTCATCTTGTCACACAGTGGAGTCAATTCCGTAGTCAGTTTGCCAGGCTGGGGCACCTGAGATTGCTTCTTCGTGAGGATATTGTCTGGTTTGGCTGTTCCGCAACCCTCAGCAGTAAAGCTGAAGATATCATTCTTCAAGAGGCTGGATTTCGTTCTATTGGTGTAAACCCACGGCAGACTCAGGTTATTCGAACTTCCATTAACCGTCCTGATATTTTTATCGGCGTACATCCGATTCCACGCGGTAAACTTGTATCCTATGATATGTTATATTTTTTATTGAACGAGGCCATTGATACAGATGGAAAGATCATACCTCAACACATTTTAAAGACCATTGTCTTTATTGACAGTCATGTCAAGGTTCAACAAGCAGTGCAATATTTCCGATCAATACTTCTTCAGATCTGTCAGAATAACAGGCAGAATGTCAACAATACTGACACCTCTTTCATCAATGACACCATTCAGCATTTCACATCTCGAGTGTCTGAAGTGGATCAGAATATTCGCTTCGAGGAGTTCATGAAACCTAAGTCAATGGTATCCAGATCAGAATCGTGATTGAATTTTGCAAAGAAGGGAGTATTGATAAGGCATTTCAGCTCCTGTTTAAGCAAGACAGTATAACGTTGATTATCATTGAATACCCCTGCTTTGGAAAGTGCTGAATATAGTGCATTTCGCCGCTTCGTAGGAGTACTGTATCGTCGATGAGTCAAGATATCGGGACTCTGAATCCAAGCCTCTATAAAGGCCTCCATTCCCCAACTGTTTCGCTGTAATGTTCTGACAACGCGAGATAATTTTGACCGTCTTTTCTGCCGGTTATAAGGCATTGTAGGCAGGTGCTGTGGGCCACGGCGGTTTGATCGTGAACAAGCTCGCGGGGTATCGGTATCAGTATCGGTGATCTCGAATTCCGAAGGAGTATCAATAGATTCAAGCTCTGTTAAGTCACTGTCTGATGTGTCATATTCATCATCTACATTGTTGGGAGACTGTAGTGGTTGTAGAGAGGATTCATCTTCGAGTGATGAAGGATATTGGCTGGAGCGCGTCTGACATTGGGTGTCTTGAGATTCAAAAGACACGCTGTCTTTTGTCAACGATTGTGACATGATGAGAAGGGGTAGTGAGTTGTAAAATAGCAGAGATGATAGCAGAATGGCTGAGGATTTGAAAAATATCGGTTTGGTGATGATCAGGCAGATATTTAGGGTAGATGTATGATTTCGAAGTCAATCGAATATTTTGTATGGGCGGTGTTGATTTTCCACACACGATGGAACCGTTTCTTCTCAGACTCTCTACGAGATATTAGGTTGCGAGCACGTGTGAAGTCTCTTATTGGTCCAGAAGTTAGCAGGACTTGGCAGAAGTCTAAAGGAGTTTAGTTGGTCGCGCTAATCCGAAAATATCGAGAAGAGAGGCTGAGCATGCTGAGATAAAGTACCCCCTAACATATATATATATATACCACGTGACCTAGAAAGTGCAACTGCCGGCTTTCCCAATCGGGAAATCTGCGGGTTGCAGTTCAACGGCGGTTCCAATCGTAAACGGCCACTGGGCCCAAGCAAGAGCTCGATCACCAGCAGCGCCATGCTGGCGGTGGAGGGGATAGACCAACCCAATCCATTCCAATGCCGCCAACACAATATCTCAAGGGAGCTCTGGTTCTTGCCAAGAATTTTGAATCGCGACCCTGCCAGGGACCAGAGGAATTTGTTGACATCCATGGATCGATACGATGATATCCCGGGGTAGGAGTTTTCTACAGGACAATGAGCGATATGGCCGTGCACGGGACATGGCGTCTGGGCAATGGCATCGAGCGCATTCCTTGCAGCTCCACGGCTGCCATGTGTCATCAGATGAGAAAAGCCGCCCAGGGGCGAAATAACTTTTTCGTCAGTCCACTGACGGTAACTATGGGGAGGGACGTGAGGGAAATGGGACCAGCAAGCATCCTGTATTGTGTGGGTGAATAATCTTCATACTCACGACTACACAACTGCACAGCAGTAGTCGGTTAATTAGCTTATATATAGCTCTCTAGCGAGCTAGTTTAGTTGTCCAAGGATACCCTGTAGTTATGATGATCTGATTGGCTCAAATGGTCGATCACCAAGATGAGCAGCCAAACCACATCTGCTCCGAACTTCTGCCGAAGTCACACGGATTTCGAGAGCAATCCCGATTGCGATCCATGCTTGATACAGTGCTGGTGTCCAGGACTACAGCTCGAGGATGTTGGTGTCTCCCCGTAGATACCGTCGCTGGTGGCGGTGGCTGTTTGGCCCTGTCCTCTTCGCCCGCCGCGGCTCGCATGGACATCTGAGCGTCCTGTTCATCTCCTGCGTCCTCTTCTTCGCCGTCGTCGATTACCTCACCTTCTCCACGTCGTCATTGGCGCTATCTTCCCGCTCATCCTCGTCACGAGTGTCTGCAAATACAGCACTCGTTCCAGGGATAAGGTCCGTCTATGTGGCCAGCACGCACTGGAACAATGAGGCCATCCTGCGCAGCCATTGGAATGCCGCCGTTGTCGAGCTGGCGAGGAAGTTCGGGAAAGAGAACATATACGTTTCCGTCTATGAGAGTGGAAGTTGGGATGATTCGAAAGGCGCGCTGAGGGAGCTGGATATGCAGCTGGGAGAATTGGGCGTTGACAGGACGATCGTCCTGGATCCCACCACCCACGAGAACGAGATCAGCAAGCCTCCCGCGGAGGAAGGGTGGATTGATACGGCCCGGGGCAAGAGGGAGCTCAGACGCATCCCGTACCTGGCTCATATGCGGAATAAGTCGTTGGAGCCATTGGAGAAGCTTGTACGGGCTGGGAGGACGTTCGATAAGATTATCTTTCTGAATGATGTCATATTTTCGGTATGGATGGTGCAAAACTTGTGCCAGCTAGATTGCGGAACTACCACAGAAGGTAGACTAACATGATATATATATATATATATATATAGATGACGGATATCATAACTCTTCTCAATACCCGCTCCGGGTCATACGCCGCGACGTGCTCGCTCGATTTCGCAAAACCGGGGCTCTTCTATGACACATTTGCCCTGCGGGACTGGAAGGGCTCCGCTGCCTTCTCCCAGCGCTATCCATACTTCAGCGCCAGGCGTTCACGCAACGCCTTGCTAGCAGCAAAGCCCATCCCCGTGCAAAGTTGCTGGAACGGGATTGGTGTGTTTTCCCCCTCTACCCAATTCTCTCTCAATCTCCATGAAGAAACATTACTTTAAACAAAATGTATAAAAAAAAAGGAAAGAAAAAGAAACAAAAAGGCTAACCCCTTTCTTATCCCATACCCACAGCAATCTTCGACGCCGCTCCCTTCCAAACAACCCAGACCCCGCTCCGCTTCCGCGCCATCCCCGACTCGCTCGCCAAATACCACCTCGAAGGCTCCGAATGCTGCCTCATCCACTACGACAACCCCCTCTCAGCCTCCAAGGGTGTCTGGCTGAATCCCAACGTGCGCGTCGGATATAACCTGGTCGCCTACGAGTCTGCGGCGCGCGGGTGGCCGTCGACGCGGGACGCTGTGCTTGTGGGCTGGTGGAAGGGGTTTCTTGCTTCGTTGCTGGACTTGCCGTGGCGGCCAAGGGCGATCGAGGCGAGGTTTAGGGCATGGGAGAAGGAGGAGGATGACGATACCTCTTCTTCTTTTTCTTTTTCTTCTTCTTCTTCTTCTTCTTCTTCTTCTTCTTCTTCTTTTTCTAGCCAGGGTAAGAAGCGGGGGAGGAGGAGGAGGAGGAGCGGAAAGAATGGAGAGCTTTGGCTGCCGTGTTTGATTGATGAGATGCAAGTCATCGTGTATAATGGGTGGGCGCATGTTTGATTGTTCTCTATTGTTTCCTACCCTTTCCAGTTGTGCAGAACTGTGTGTGATTTTATATATAAGGGATGATTTTTTGGCATGTAACTATGTATCTGAATTTCCACTCACGCGTAGCTAGATCTTTTTGGCTTTGTTATATTCGTTTTTCTTTCTTTTTTATTTTTGGCGTCCGTTCTCCAAAGATTCCCCTACCTTTTACTCTTCATTTCATTTCATTTGTTTCATTTTTTTTCTTCTTTGGCTTCAGAATTCAAAGAAAGCATGTTATCAACGCTGTTGATATGTTGGATCGAATCCAGACGTGCGCTTCGCAGCCTTTATATCATGCTGTGGTCTCCTGCTTTCTGGCTCTCTGCCTCCTTCAAGTATATCGCGTGGGCTTCTCTTGTTTAGTTTGTTTTATTTCTTTTGCTATTCTCCCTGTTGCTCTATTGTTGCTTGGGCTGACAATACAAGAAATGAAATCAAAGCCTAAGCTCTGCTAACCCGTTAGATTGCATTTTGTCGTTGTGTTTTGGTTTATTTATGAATTTCTTTCTTTCTTTCTTTCTTCTTCTTCTTCTTCTTCTTCTACTTGGAAAGTTGCATCCCTCCTGCTATCCCTTTCCCGTTCCAATGGCTGTGAATTCTGTTCAATCCGGATCGAAGCCGAAGTGAACATTGCCCAGTGACGGTAGCATACAGATCGTTCACCATCACTTACATCCAGCATAATAAGTTCAAGTCCATTTCTCCCTCTCCCTCTCCGCCTTGTTCTCTCCCCTTTTCCCCTTCCCCTTCCCTTAGCCGTCCCTTAGCCGTCCCTACCAACTCGCAACGTCCCTCCCCCGATCAAACCCACCCCTCAACTGGTCCGCATGCACAATCTTCCCCTTCAGCACCGTCTGCTTGACAATCCCCTCGCAATCTGCCGGCCGCACCCTCGCCAGCCAAATCATCTGCTCCGCCGCGCGACGGTAGATCAACACGTTCGCGGCGAATTTGTGGCCGCCGACGTGCGAGACGTACACGATGCCCACGCCGCCCGGCCGGGAGTCATCGTCGTCGCGGTAGAGGCCGAGAGGGCGCAGGTGGCGTTCGAGTTCGCGTCGGATGAGCGGAGCGGAGATGCCGCAGCGGGCGTCGCGGCGGTGGTGCGAGCAGAGGAGGATGAGGTGGTCGCGGAGGCAGGGGCGCGTTGTCAGCTTGTGTGGGGATTCGGGGCCAGAACGGGATAGTTCCCCCTTATCGGGTTTCGATTGGGTGTCGGGGGTGCTTGAGGATGCTGGATCCTGCATTTGCTGGGCTTGGGGCTGGGGCTGGGGCTGGGCCTATGCGTTTGCAACTGGGTCGGGGGAGGAGTCGATGAAGCGGTCCATGAACTCTGGTATTCGCGAGACGGTGACTGCGTCGACGAAGATGAACGCGGGCAAGACGAGGACGGTCGTTACGTTGTCCTGGCTCTTGCCCTGGCCGTGTCCCTGAGCGTCGTTGTACGCCGGATATACGGGCAGGTTCGATGCTGAAACCATCATTTTCTGCCATAGAAAATGGGGAGTGTGTTAACGAGGGGTGCTCTCAGGGGGAAAGGGGAGAGAAGGGGAGAGAAGGGGATGGCAAGGAATATCTATGATATAGGATATATCTATATCTATATCTATATCTATACAATGCGGGAGACAGACATACCCCCCCCCCCCCCGTCTTCGGCTTGAACGAACCCAGCTTAAACCCCTCCATCAGACTGCCACGCTCATTCTCGACCCGTTGTTCCCAGTCCGTCTTGCCGGTCGCGACAATGACATGTTTGGTGTACGTCTTGATGCTCCCGTACAGCTCCCTGTCGGAATTGATATTAAAGCGTGATGGGAATTTGGTCGTGCAGTCAGCACAGTCCTTGTCGCAATCAGGGCCATCGACTTCAGGATCCACGGTGGGGAAGAGGCTGGTGGTTTTGTCAACGGAACTGGATTCTGAAGCCGAAGCGAAGGGGTTTTGGGATGCGAAGGAGAGGAGGGAGCGGAACATCCTGATAAACCCTTTTTGACCTTTTATCGCTGTCTCTATGTATCTAGATAATTTTTGTATAGTTTACTCGTGTTCCCCTTCGTCCGCGAGTGTCAATTGAGCTGGAAACATCGGATAGAAGATATAGACGGTCAGCCAATATATATTAATTATTGTAATTCCTGCCGTTAAGAAACCCCTCCTCGACGGTTTCCATTGCCCGCTCTGCAGAAATGCTTCTGCCTCGAGCCTGGATACCTCCCGCACACGCCTCTGTTCTGCTGTCTGCTGTGTCACGATGACCTTGCATGCGCTCTGCGCCAGCGGGCTCCGACACGCTTGTTATCTCCGACCCCAGCGCCAGATTCCAGACTGGAGCGAGCTTAACGCACGCTTAACGCAAGCTCACCACCCGCTCACCAACCAGCTTGACACAAGCCACGCACCAACTTCTCTCCGGTCTCCCCATCACTCTACTCCGTAGTGCCTCGATCTCTCGCTCTAACGCTAACTACGTGCATCTTAGCCCCGACACCGACCTCGGCCTTCTCGGCGTCGGGCCCAAAACAGCCAGTTTGCGCTGACTGAGTTTGCTGTCTTGGCCCCCTTGCACTGTAGCGCTCCCCTGGCCACGCCAATGGCTGGCTAACCATGTTTACTCCGAGGTCTTGCTAACCGCTGGATGTGCTTTGTCCGAGAACGACGCAGGGTCGAAGCGAAAGGAACACAAAACGGGGCCAGAAAATTCCACGAGGCCGGATGTCATCGAGCCGCAGCCCCGAATCACAAGCGACAAACGCGACACCCGCGTATGCGCCCCATCCCCATGCATCAGACGACGCAGCCGGCGACCGTGGCGGCGGCGGCGACGCCAGCAGCCGTGCTGCATCCTCGTCGCATGACCAGCCGGCTGAATCCAGTCACCGCAAGAGGCGGAGGAGGACCATTGCCTGCGCTCCATGCAGGAACCGGAAGGTCAAGTGTGACTTTGGCTATCCAGCTTGTAATCGATGCATGAAAGGACCCGGCCCGGAGGCTTGCATGTATGAGTCTCCCGTCCATGCATTGCAACATCAGCAGCAGCAGCAGCAGCAGCAGCAGCAGCAGGAGCAACAACGACAACGACAATTTTCCCATCCACCCGCACCAGCACCAGTATCAGCAGCGGCATCAGCATCGTCGGCCTTCTGGCACCCACGGCCACCAGAAGCAAATTGGCCCAATGCGCATGCACCAGCCGTTGCAGCATCGGAAGAGCAGCAATCTGACGATGTTCGGGTTCGGGAGCTGAGACTAATCATACAGAGCCTGATCCAGCAGCAGTCCAATTCGCCCTTTAATAATGCAGCTCCTCTTTCGACCAAGCCGGACCAGCACCCGCACCCGCACCCGCACCCGTACCCGGGTTCGACAGCTGCTGGCCCCGCTGATGCTTCTGCGCGCGACGATCTATCAGTCCAGGCGGAACCGTGGGGACGCGACGCCCCCAATCGGCACCGCTTTGATGGGAATGAGGGTCGGACTCGGTTTTGGGGATGCAGTAATGGGTCGAAGTTATCATTTGAGGTGAGTTGTTCTTTTTCTTTTCCTTTTATTTATCTTTCCCCTGATTATTATATCATATAAGAATTTATACAATCCGTCTTCGGATCTATTGTTACGAGGAGCCTTTCCGGAGGCGTTGTAATTGAAGTAGCCATGCTAAATGTATGAATATAACAACACCAACAATAACAAAAAATATAGCTCGAGGGATTGAGCAGCTTTATGAAAGATCTGAAAGCCACCGCCTCTCTTCGCGCACTTCACCAGGAAATCAGAAAGGTTGGGTATAATAAGCAACAGAAACCCTTGTCTGGAGAGCTGGCGACGGACAGTCTCTTCCTCAAGAGCCTTCTTCCCGTTCGACCCGTGGTCGAGAATTTGGTGAACTGCTACTTCTCTTACGTAGGAAAGATGCATCCCATTCTTCATAGGCCGTCGTTCCGCGCACAGCTCAATGATCTCTGGGCTGAGAAAGTGGACATTCCGTGCCACTTCATTGTCCAGCTCCTCTTGGTAATGGCGTCCGTGTGGAGCGTAAACACACCGAGCCCTCTTACCGCGTCTGGCACAAAGATTCTGTCCCATACCGTCGCGACGGAGTGGATTCGCTGGTCTGAGGCGTGGCTGTTCCATGCAAATATTAAGCGGCCAAATCTGGTTGTTTTACAGGTGCGGTGTTTGCTGATAATGGCCAAGGAGGCTAATTACACGCAGAAGAATCAAGCCTGGAGCTCAGCGGGGACGTTGGTGAAGCTGGCCATGTCTGCGGGATGCCACCGCGAACCGCCTCCCGAAACCAAGATTTCGGCATTCAATCGGGAAATGCGCCGAAGGATATGGGCCACGATTCTCGAACTCGACCTGCAGGCGTCTTTGGACCGCGGCATGCCTCCGACAATGCAGCAATCGGATTATGATTGTTCCCCACCGCTGAATATCGACGACGAAGATCTATGCGAAAACATCACCGTCAGCCCCGAAGAAAAGCCAACCACGACCATGACAGACTGTTCGTTTCAGGTGGCTTTGATGCAGTCCATGGGTTTGAGACTGCGGATATGTGCGCTTGTCAATGCGCCACGTATTTCTTTGTCTTCAAACGATCTCTCACTTCTAGAAGAGGAGATCAATCGGAGTCTTTCAGATATCCCAGATTGGCAGGACAATACCACTCCCAACCCACCTGAGGCCTCTCACTCTTTTATGACTCAGAAACAGCAAAAGCTCCTATGGCGAACGCTCTTGGAGTCGAATCTGCGACGGTGCCAGCTTTCGCTTTACACCTACAGTGTCCTTGGTGGATTGAAGGGCTCCATAAATTGTCATACGACGCAAGCGCGTCTTGAAGTAGCAGTGGTGATTCTATGCCAACAGCAGCTGCTCATTGATAACATCGGCAAGCTCGCCTGGTGTGCGTTAGCAGATGTCACTTTTCATGCTGCATTTACGATCTGTCATCATCTGCACGCATCCGATTGTGGCTTCAGTAAGGCTTCTTTTTTTCCCCCCCATTCCCTCTCCCTCTGGCCACTTGGTTGTTATATCATACAGCTAGCAGCAATTTCTTTGTCTAATTATCTGCAGCATCCGCTATAGTCCGGCAGGTTATACCCAGCATTACGGACATTTTAATATCCTTGGTTCAAAAAACACTATCATGGCTCGAAGAGAAGTTCCTCGTTCTAGAAAAGGGGATGCGCGAGTACTACTTCCTCTGCGTGTCAATTACACTCGTCAAGACCAAGCTGTGGCCTGAATCAGCATCGACCTTCCAACAGCAGGCGGCTGACCGGTTGCGTATAATGAGTTATAATTTATTTGCGAAATATCTTGGAGAGAATGCCGGTATACATGAGGAATCAAGGGTACGTTTGTTGCGATTTCCTTTTCTTATTCCTTTCTTAGTTTAATTTGCTGTTATGTTCATTTTAGTCAAGTTACGTTATAAGGATATTTGATTGTTAACCTCGCAGCCTAAAAGACCCACGATTCTCAGCAGCCAAGTTTAGTAGTCCATGGTGCGACACCGCAGAGTATATCTTCAGTTTCGCCCGAACACCTGTTTCCGGGTCACTCCGTGTTGGTTGATGAAATTATTGGCTTCGGTGTAAGGGTTTTTACTTTTCTTCCTCTCTCCTCGATTTTCATTGTTTGTCATTCTCAAATTTGCCGTTTCGCGGCTATCCTGGGCAAGATGATTACATGTTTCCTTTCCTTTCCCCTTGCTTTCTCCAGGTTTTACCATTCTGATTTCCGAAAGTATGAATAAACTCTTATTGGTTATCTGACTTTCTCTCTTCTGCAATAGGGATTCGAAGATTGGGATTGGTTTAATTATTTCGGAGGTACATTTCCAGGTCCGGAGCGGATGTGAACTACTGCGTGAACAATTCCAGAACCTCTCCGCTAGCATGATACCTCTTCTACTCGGAGGTGGCACCCAGATTAAGATTTTTATTCTCTGTTCAGGGCATATATTTTAATGTTTGGGACATGGCCACTCTGACTACATTTGTATCTCGTTTATGACACCTTCCTGGAACAACAATCTTCCCACTCCCCCCACAAAATGAAAAATACTCAGAAAATTCGCTCGCCCAAACATCTTAAATTTTCTGATAGAGAGACATGATTGCCAGGATCCTCCTCGGCACGTTTACTCAACTTTCGCTATCCGCCTTGCAAATCCCAGCCGCCGTCTATGTTATACACGGCTCCTGTCGCGAATGAGGCTGCATCGCTGAGCAGGAATAATACTACCTTTGCGGCCTCGTCTGCCGTCTCTGTTCGGCATATAGCACCAGGTATATGGTTGAGACGTCCTTGTATAGCACTGCCTTCATCAAGCAGAGGTGTTTGAATCGATCCCCTGGTCCCCTGATCAGCATAACTCTTCTTCAAGAAACCACCTCTTTTGGAACTTTCACTTGCGCTTCTGTCCTGAGCACATGACATCCATAAAGGAATAACGAATCAGGGGGCGGTGACTCACGGCGCGATGCAATTCACTCTGATACCTGGAGCAGCCTCTTTGGCCACCAATTTCGTCAATCCTACGATGCCATGCTTACTGGCCGAATACGTCGCAGATTTCCCGAACCCTATAACACCTTGGATACTCGCGGCATTAACAATATTCCCAATGCCCTCAGCACCAGCACCAGCACCAGCACCTATAGCACCAGCACCTATAGCAGAATCCCCCTGCCGCGCTGCCATCATAGCCCTCAATTCAGCCCGTACACAATACATCATCCCTGTCAAATTTACCCGCATAATCACATCCCACTCGTCATCATCCTGGTCCACCAAATCGCGGATACCGTGGTGTTTCTCAATGGCGGCCGCCATATTTGCCGCACCGTCCAGACGGCCAAACTTATCCACAGTGGCTGCAATCCAGGCGTTGACCTGGGCGGAGGAGGAGACATCGACCCTTGTAATGAGGACGTGGTCGGCTGAGGAGCCAAGGGCCGCGAAGGCTTCGTCGAGGGCGGGTTGGGAAATATCTGCGAGAGAGACGAGGGCGTCGCATTTGCGGAGTTGTTTGGCAACTGCGAGGCCGATGCCTGATATCCCAGTTATGGCGTAGACTTTGGAGTTGAAGGAGTCCATCGTTGGGGGGTTTCTTGTTGGCGTTCGCTCCCTTTTTGTTTTCTTTCTTTCTTTTTCGTTGGAATAGGACTGGAAATTGGTGTTTGTTGTTATGGTAGATATTGTATAATAGCCTTTCTTTCATTTTTTCGTTCCTTTGTGTGTGTGGGTTCTCTTGGTTCAATTAATAGCACTTTTCTTCCCACATTTGTTGACGCCCGCGCAGGCGTTGCTGGGATGGCGATCAGTATGGCATTTTCTTCCAACTAAGCTATGTAGAGAACCTTTTATGCTCTGGAGAGTTTTCCACGCGACTGAAGGCACCACCACCAATCGGAAAAGAAGATATTTCTCGACCTGGGTCCCGAGTCCGAAATCTGGCCCTGATTTCTCGATGCCTTCAGCCGGAACTTCTACTGACTATTGCCCACTCTGCTGAAAGATAGGAAGTCGACGCGCTGTCCGTTCTGGGAAAAAAAAAAAGGGGGGGGGGGGGGGGGGGATTCTTTTTTAAAGGGGAGGACTGTTTCTTGAGATTGATATTTGCGGTTTGTGCGAGATGGCGGATTCCAGCGCAACAGCATCGCGGAATCGGAGACGTATGTACATTTTTTGCTGGGCTTGACTGTGACCTCCAAGTGGAGAAACTGGTTGGCCGTTACCACTGCGTGGAAATGTAGGGGATACATAATACGGCGTTACAGGATGTGGGGTGGCGGGGTAGCGGAGCCCATAGTGACGAATGTGTCAAGTAACTCCCTAGTTAGATGTTTTTTCTGCTGTAATTACTTACTTCCACTGATAAGTAGCCATTCATCAACAGTGTTTGCACCTATGTTGGAAGCTCCGTTTGGCTAAATGGTGTTGGTAGCTAGTTAAGATTACGACCTTTAGAAGATATGAAAAGCTGCAATAACATATCAACGACATAGTCATACATCATTAAAAAGCATATCTAGAGATCTTATTGAGTACATTTTAAACTAATCAAGTACTGACTTCTATTCAATTTAGCAATTCATTGAATATTGAACAGGTAGATAGGCAGGTTGGCAGGTAGGTAGGTCGATGATTCAGGGGTACGAAGAGGGGCCATCAGAGCCAATTGCGGAGAAACCCTAATTCGAACGAAAAATTTACACTGTAAAACCATTGTTAACGAAACTCGCTTCGCTCCATTTAATTAGATACATTTATCATCACTGATGATAACTAATTGGTGTTCAGAATCTTAGTGACGTTGATAGAACTCTTGCCAATGCTGGTTCTAGCACCCCAATCCGGTTGTTTAGTCCATTTCATTTTGACGTCTATCACAGCAACACCAACACCAACACCACCTTCATACTCCTCCTGCTCCCACAACTGGCGAGGTCATGCTATCTTATGAGGGACATCGGGAAAGAGAAAGTATGCATCCTGTGGATCGTTGCATACTTCACCCTTCATTGCCTGGATTGACTGGAAAGGGCACTATTCGACTGAAGATTGTTGAACCTGTCAGAATAGGAGATCAACACAGTGCTTAACTTGTTAACCACTGTCCACATGGTTGATAAGACTCCAGATATTGATAAGTATCTAGTCGCTAAGTTCTACGACCCTCTATACTTTGATCATGAGCAAGATGGTGTGGATCCTTTTTGCTTACAGATCTAGCATACTCTCATAAAACCACAGCCTACCAACTGCTTTATCCACTTCAAGGAACTATCATTCCAAGATATTATGGGTCCTTTACTCTTGAACTGCCAATTCCAAATAAAAGTTGTTCACGATCTATCCGGTTAATCCTTATTGAAAAAGTACCTGGGATCTCAATGCAATGTCTCGATCCAACCAACTATCCATAGTCAGAGCGTCAAAATATTTTGAAGACAATCATTGATGCAGAGTCTACACTGTATACTCATGACATATTACATAAAGATATGCAACCAAGTGTGCTGGATACCAAACACCTTCCTGGTGTTCCAATATCTCCATTGCTGCGCTGGGCTCAGGGCTGGGACCGTCATGCGAATTTTCATGAATGGATTGACCGGGACTGGCAAACCTGGCTTGAGCACTGTTATATGAATTCACGAAAGCTTCCATAACGGAACACATGCGGTCAGTTTGGCTTCCAAAAATACCATCCACATCACCGCCGCCAAGTCCTCTCGCATATCCAATCCCGTTCGCCAGTTCCTAGACTTCCGACGTGCCCTTTTTTTTTTTTTTTTTTTTTTTATCGACTAAAACAAGAAGAACAATTGTTATAAGCAGATGGCCGTGGTTTGGACTTGAATATTGATGCATGCGTTCTGCCCGACTTTCGATGGTCTATGTGATATCCACTCTCTGCTTCTTGCCATCTCTACTAAGAATCATAGACTCTCCTCCAGCTTCTTCAGTTGTATTTTACAAAGCTTCATTGTGTGACTTCATACAGGTCCTCACATGCCGTTACCCGCTCATGCAGAGTCTGTGGATACGCCCGGCCCCGAGTAGGCGCGGATGCGTACTTGACACCAACCCAATGGAACAGCGGGTACAGCAGGGGGTTCTTGTTCGTTATGTGTCTGTCTAGTCGAGACCCTCTCTGTGTTGGCGGTGCGTAGGGATATTACGGAAAGGTGCCAGGATGCAATTAGGATTTGATTTGGCATGGATCTATTTATTGCTCAGAGCTACTTTAGTTATTTAAAGTGATACGGAAAAGGAGCTTGGATGAAGGACAGGTTTATCGCACGGCGAAAGGGAGATAGATGTACTGTACGCGTGATAGATAGTTAAGATACTCAAAACGCCTATCCATCCATTTCTGTTCTATTTTCATTTTCATTTTCATTCTTATTCTTATTTTATATTACATTATTTTTTTTATTCCCCCAATTAGCGGCTAGGATATTAAGGTGTTTTCGCAACCATCAATTTCGCAATCTAACAAGCTCAAGCAGTTAACTGTATTTCACATCATCTGTTGCCACTCACAAATGATTGCTTGCGCATTTGTAAATCTCTGCCTGAACAGCCATACGAAGTTACATCGGCATGCCCTTGTCCCCGTGTGCGGAAAGATAAATAAGATTTGGATTCCCAAACAAAAAATCCACAACTCACCTTTCTTCCCTGGCAAGAGGTAGCATGCCAACTGTGGATAAAACCCCAGAGTGGAGTGAGCAGTTGGATATGCGGCGGCCACCCTGGAGCCAAAGGCCAAAGCAGAGGCCTTGAAGCTATCAAGCTGCAAAAGGTATAGATGATCGTTTCCGTCGCATCCCATTTCCATTTTTCTGTCGACCATCACTGGTGGTAGCGGTTGAGAATGCTAGATCAGAGAAGCCCCTGAATCACCTGAAATACTCATCTCCAGAATGGACCAAGTTAAGTTGGCTGGGCCAGTCATCAGGGTTTCCCCTACATTTGGGTGAAATGAACCCAGGTGGCGTATACATCTTCCACAAATGAATGTTAACAAACAGGTTTATTTAAACAAAATCCTTTTTGAATAATGGCAAAGACGAAAAGACCATCCGATCGATTCCGACACCAAGGGGATGACAATTGAAAAGGGTTCCTGATCAGGGATATAGATATGTTTGCCAGAACTGACTTCGAACAAATGAAAGAAGAAGAAAAAATACAACACCGTATAAGAAATAAAGAAAACATCCGCATATATCAATCAATCATTTGGTGTGTATTGCGGCGCAGCATTATTTATACCATCACAGACAAAACAATATTGGAAACAACCACCCCAAACGCCTAAGTAAGCAAACATACTATGTCCGCAAGACAAAGAGTAAAATGGGACATCATCAGCCGCTGACAAGGAAAAAGCAAAAAGATAGAAAGTCCACCCTGACCAAGTATTCCAATTCCAAACGCTCGAACGACAAAGGAAACCCTGTCTCTTCCCATAACATAAATATATTCATATCCGGCCAATGCAACCCCGACCGCAACCGCAAACCATAAGCTACCAAAAAATATGGCATATGTGCAAAAATCCCTCATGAAAAACGAAATTCTTGACAATTTAAGCTAGGCCTCACAGACTTCTCGCCTGTCTAATTAGCCAGAGCGATATATTCCTTATTCTCCACGGTAACGCTCTTGGTCATGTGGTTAACCTTATAGACGCCGACAAGTCGAGATGCAAGTTCGAACTAGATTAAAGGGTTTTGCGCATTAGAAAGATTTCCGGGAATAACGGGACAAGAAGCTTAAGGTATAAGAAAGGGGGAGAAAGGAAACGGAAGCAACACATACCATATTATTTCGCAACGAGATAACAATGAATTGAGCATTCTTCGTTCGCTCTTTGATATATGAGGCGACGATAGAGACCTGGACAACAGGAACAAAATCAATAAGTAAACTGGACAGAATTATCCATCGACACTCTCCGGCTTCAAACTTACATTCCTAAAATCCAACGCCGCATCAATCTCATCCATGACGTACAACGGCGTCGGTCGGTAATGATGTAACGCAAACACAAGCGCAAGACTCGACAACGTTTTCTCCCCCCCGGACAAATTACCAATGTTCTTCCAGCTCTTCTTAGGTGGCATGACTGAGAACAAAATGCCTTCCGAGAAAGGATCAAGAGAATCCACAAGCTCCAGCTCAGCATTACCACCCATCGTAATCATTTGGTACATCTCCTTTAGCCGGAGCGAGATGGTGCTGAATCCCTCCATAAAGCCTGTCAGGCGGAGAGAGCGGAGAGTATCAAGGCGTGACTTTGCATTGTCGCGGCTTTCTAGTGCAGTGGCCAGGTCGGCAGAGCGGGACTCGTGCTCAGCGACGCGGCGGCGGTATTCGCCCAGGACGGAGAGGTCAACGGAGGCGTTCTGCGTCTTTTCCTCCAAAGCAGCGATGACGGCTTTGAGCGATTCTTTGCTCATATCGGCGAGTTCATCCTTGGTGTATATTGGGAGGCTTTGAGCTTCCTGCTCTTCGCCTAGGTCGCTGATATTCTGAAGAGAAAGCTTGGCTAGCTTTTCTTCCCAGTATCGACAGCGTTTTTGATTTTCGGCAAGAACCTTTTGATTCTCCTCTAGTTTGTTCTTCATTTCGATTTCAGAAGCACGCGTTTCATTCAGTTCAGCTACCTTCTTATCCAGCTCCGCTTTTAATGTGGCGAGCTCCTCTCTTTTGGTTTCCAAAGCCTACGAAAAGAAGTTAGCAAAAAGTTATGTTTCCCTCAACCCGGACGCATCCAACTAACCTCTTGAGCCTCCTCTGTCTTCTGCCTCGTCCCATAGACATCATTTTCCTGACTCTCAATGTCCTGATTCAATTTCTCAAGGTCTTTTTTCACCTGCTCAAGTTCACCCTCCGCATCGGCACGAGACTTTTCATGCTTGATGCGCAACTTCTCATTTTTAGACTTGGAAACTTCAGCATTTGACACGTCCTCCGTGAGAAGATCGATTTGTTCCTTGAGACCATCAACTTTAGCCTTTTGACCCCGGAGCCTGACACCACCAATCTCCATAATCTTGTTTTGGAGAGCTTGGATTTCCTCTTCAACTCCCGCAGTCTCTGTATGAAGCTTCTCAATTTCCTTTCCTAAGGACGAGATGTGTTTTTCAAGCGCGGCGGATCTGGAATCATCACTCTTCGAAGGCTTATGTTCTGCCGACAATTCCTGAACACGTCGCTGCGCATCCGCCAAATTCTTGTTTGAACTCTCAATCTCAAGTTGGATCCTCTGAATCATTGTCTCCAGTTTCGGAATTTCATCTCTCTTCGCCTTTATTGACGTTTCTATCTGCCGCTGTTTGTCTTGGAATGCTTGGAACTTCCTTTCAATCTCATCGCGATCAGCCTCGAGTTTCATGACCTGCTCCTTCGAGACTTCGGCAACAGGCTTTGAGGACATGCCGCCCCTGGCAACACGGGTGCCACCACCACTCATAGTCCCAGATACATCGATAAGCTGTCCGTCCAATGTAACAACACGCCATCTTCTCGGGCCGTAGGCGATTTTGTTAGCATGTTCAAGGTCCTTGGCGACAAGCGTATTTTGTAAAACACTGTAAAAGGCTGGTCGAAACTTGGGGTCTATGGGTTTGACAAGATCGAATAATCGTGGCACACTATCTGGTGTAAAGACGGAGGACATATCTCTCTGAGGTAGTCGGTCGAGGAGGATGAAGTTCGCTCTTCCTAGGTTATTCTTGCGCAGGTAGTCGATACATTGTTGACCCACTTCAACGGAATCCACCACCAGGTTCTCAAGGGCTGGGCAGGCAGTTGAAATGGCGACATCATACTGTTCATCGATAGTCCCCAAATTGCCAAGTCTTCCATGGAATCCTTCAATACGCCCGGATTCCTTCAACCGCATCAAGCCTGCAAGCACGTTGCCCTGGTTTTGAGTACTGACAAGGCTCGCACGAGCTTCGTCCGCCTTTTGGCGAGCGCTGGATATCCTCGACCGAATCTCCGGTTCCTTTTGTCCGAATTTTTTTAATTCAGTTTCAAGGAGAGTGGCTTCATTTTCAAGTTCTGTCTTTTCCACTCGGCGAGTTTCCAGGTCAGCTGTTTTGCTGGATATGGTAGCTTTAATAGACTGGATCTTCGCGTTTGCTTCGTCCATGGCGACGGCGCCTGCATTACGCTTTTCCCGCAGAATATCAAGCTCACTCTGTGCGACGGCAACGGCGGATTGCTTTTCATTGATTTTTTCATTCCAAGGCTCAAGTGACTTCTGCTTAACAGCGATTTGGTCCGAAAGTCCCTGTGTCTTACCCTTAAGTCCTTCTCGAATAGCCGCAAGCTCCTCCTCCTCGTGCTTCATTTCTTTCTCTAACTCTGCGATTTCAGCAGTCTTCCTCTCAATATCGTCTGTGTGTTTCTCAACCAGACTTGCACACTCGGAGCCAGCCAGACGGCTTGATTGCATGGCTTTTTCAAGCTTCTTCTGCTTCCCTAGCAAAAACTTGCGTTTTTCTTCAAATTTCACTGACTCCTTATCATACTTAGCCATCTCTTTAACCATCGCCTGCGTGGCTTTCTCCATAGCTTCATACTCCTTTGCGCCCCGTTTGTGGGATCGCTGGAGTTGTTTGATGGCATCTTCGCTGCCTTGGTGGTTCTCCAACTCCATATTCAGCAATTCTTGCATTTGCAGTATCGCCTCTTCGGTCACGCGCGTATTGTCGTTGCATTCGTCGATGTAGATCTGATAGAGAGCCGACTGTTTCTCAGCCAGTTCATTTTCATCTTTAATGTAGGCGATCGCTTTGTTCTTCTTATCCTCAAGACTATGCTTTTCTTTTTCCACATGCTGAACGCGGTTGTTTTTCTCAAGACACACTTCATTCAAAGCTTCCACTTCAGCAGCAGCCTCTTCAATAGGAGTCTTATACTTAGAAGTCCCAATGATATCCTCCAAGTACTCCAGCAGACCGTCATCATGTTCACTGGCAGCTTTCGGTTTCATTTGAGCAATGGACTCAACCTCTCCCTGTAGAATCAGAAACCGCTTATGATCAAGATCGATTCCCCGGTCTTTCAAAAATCCCGTAACTGTGGTGAAATTAGTCTCCTTTTTGTTCATGTAGTATTTGCTGGAATTATTTTTGAACGCTCTCCGGGATACAATAAGCTGTGACTCAGGTACAATTTCATGTCCTCCGTCGGGGAGATCCAAAATTTCCTGGAAGTGCACCTCAACCTCGCAAAATTGGAGGTCAGGAAAGTTCGCAGAATTGTGTATAAGGGCAGAGATCTTTCCCTGCCGCATCTTGCTCGCTCTGAAGCCGAAGACGAAAAGAAGTGAGTCGATAACGTTAGACTTCCCAGATCCATTCGGGCCCACGACTGAGGAGAAAGAAACGTGAAACGGCCCCACGACCTGGCGCCCCGCGTAGCTCTTAAAATTCGTCATCACAAGGTGTGTGATCACCATTCGAGGTTTCGGCGCGGATGGCTCTTCAACCGTAGGTACAGCAAGCGATCGAGACTTGAGAACTATATCCATTGGCTTTTCTAGGGTCGTGGACATGGGGTTTATCATTTCGATTGTAGACCTCTCCTGCTCTGGTTGAGGCCTTGGCGTAGCCTCGTTGACAGTAGTCTCGGTGATGTCTGCTAATGGCGCAACGCTCTGGCGGCGGGAGGGCGGGCATGGCTGGGGCTCTGGAGAAGCTGAAGATTCAGGAGTTGGAAGGGACGACAGGGCAGATGCGGAAGATGACATACGGCTTTCGCGCCTTTGGTGCTGCTGCGTGGGGCTCCTGCGTTTTCTAGATGCGGTCGGCCTCTTGGATGGTGTCTCTGGGTTTTCTGCTAGCAGCGTGGACTCATCTACCATGTCGAAAAGCTGTGACTGTTCGATATCATCTCCTGTTCTCGGTCGCCGTGTTCGTTTGCTCTTGTCCTGTCGAACTGTTTGTGGGGTTTCGGACGAGAGATTGGCAGTGGTTCGCCTTCTCGTGGGTCCCTTCGCAGCTGGTCGCTTTGGAACCGGTGTGAACTCCTCCTCATCTTCCTGGTCTTGCTCGCCATGACTTGATAGGGCGGGGGTGGCACGTCCAGTAGAGGCAGCTTCGTCTTCCGAGCTTTCGACGACAAAATTCTTGCGGGCAGCAGCAGCGCGCCGTGAGGGTCTAGAACCGGACACGGATGTCATTATAGCATGTGGTAGATAGTAAACGGTGTCTGGTGATTCTGTGGTTAGTATGATTGTCGTCGTCGTCGTCCTTTTGAAGTTGAAGTTGAATGTTTGATGTTCGTGCGGCTCGTTCGTGTTGATGTTTACATTTAACTCAATCAGGAAACAATCTGCGATTCGATTATATAATACGATCTTGGCCAAAAAGGTCGCTTAATTTATTTGATTTCGAGCTTCACCTTGGATTGGGACGAGGAATAAGAATCGAAGACTACGATTGTATTCACTGATACTGGTATATAATAATATCCAATATCCAATATGGCGCCCTGGGAGGAGTTCGACGCCACGTTCTATTTCAAGCGCGATTCCAGCTACGACTCAAAAAAAGTTGACCTAATCATCGCCAACAGACGAGCTCTCGAGAACATCCTCTTTGTTGACAGGCTCCTCAAAGCTCTTAATATTGATGCCGGTAGCTAACAGCTTCCTGAGAATTGCGCTGTTACATATTCTAATATTTTATGGCGCAGCTTCGCGAGTGTACCCCCCAAGAACCAACCAAGCCCTCCGCGCGCTCTACTCGCAAATCGTCTCTTCATCCTCACCAAACCATCACAAGCAGGCGTTGATATATTACATTCTCAGAGATCTCCGAAGCACAAACGGTGGCGATTCCAGTTTGCAGTTCGCACGGCGATGCTACCTACCAGAGAAATACAGATTATTCATCGACGGCCTGTGGCACCTAGATAGACTGGAGTATAAGGTTCGTCGCATTCCATCAGGACCGGCTTTATCTAGCTTACGGTTCCTCCTAATTGCTAATTATTTCATAATATAGAGAGCTCTAGAATATTTAACAGAGCCATGCCTACTCCCCACCTTCCCCGACGAGATTCTCTACGTCCTCGCGACCCAACCAAAACATGCTCAGCAGCAAAGTCAACAACTCCCCAACGAAAATTACGACGACAGCCTCGCAACAGCGTACTATCTTACCGTGTCCCCACCCCTTGCTACACCGAAAGCGCTAAACGCGTATTTCGCCCTTCTCTGCCGTACCCACATCACAGAATCATTCTATTTCAGCCGCAAACAACCTTCCCCATCCTCCCACCGTGACCTTCTCGAACAACTCATTGTCTTCGTTCTGTCCGCTACTAAACCTGGCGAAACCCGTGCTAAGAGCGCAATGGAGCTTATTAATCTCCCATTCAATGCGGAGGAGGAAAGATGGTTCGAGGACTGTCTGTTGACAGGGAAGGCGAGGCATTTACCGGGGGCAAAGGATACAGTAATGATGCGCCGGGTGGCGACGGGGCGGTTGCAGGATTTAAGTGCAGGAGGTTTGGAGGCGCTAGGCGGGAGGAAGATTGAGGGGTTAAATTGGGATGATTTGAAGAAGAATTTGAGCATGAGCTCGTCGGCGCTTGGGGGGTCTGCGGCGGTCGGGGCATTTGGTGGTGATAGACGGCGATAGGGTACATTAACACTGGTGGCTGTATATTTAGCCTAGCATTTCAGCGGCGCAAAGGGTGGGATTGATATATTTTTAGGCCGAAAAGGAATTTCACATATTTAAACGTCCGATATTGGTTTGAATCTCTCGCCAATTGGTGGCCAATTTGCATTGCTTCTCATATTTAGCTAGCACAAAACGGCCGAGCTGATTAGCATCGTCATAATCCCAGAGGCAATATCATCATTGTACGGAGTAAAATGATTTTCATAGATGAATTGTTCTTACAAGACGATAATATATCAATAAATATGTTCAGACTAGTGAGTGGTAATCCGCACGTTAGTGGGCCTGACCGTAGCCAACAATTTGTTATTTAATCAAATCGCATTCTCTCACAGTTGCGACTGTCTCCTGTGATTTGGAATCATGCCCGAAGAAATTTTTCATATATCTCACAAGTTTTATCTACGTGCTTTGATACACATATTTGCTCTCCCCGAGTGCGACACATATAAAACTTGAAGAATTTAGATCTTTGGGCCACTTCGCCACAGTGAGGTAACTCGACGCGCGCCTCGATTTGATCTCTATAGTGAAGCTTCCATTTCCGCAAAAGACGCAAAGAAACTTTATTCAGGTACTATACGAAGGGAACACTGGGAAAATAGAGCAACATAATCGCCATATCAGAAAATATTTAGCAGTGGCGACCGCGATACACACAGAACAAGAAAGCTATGCCCGTCTGCATCTTCTACCAACAGGGCCGATGCAAGTTTGGCGGTAGGTGTGTTATTCTTTATCTCGGCCTGATATCGATTGCTAATTCTCCACATAACCAGATCGATGCAAGAATGAGCATCCAGGAGCCCAGTCCGCATCCCCATTTGGAGGAGGGGGAAACCGGTTTGGCGTGTTGGCTGGGGGAGGTTTTGCTGCTGCTGCCAGTGGCGGCGGCGCATTTGGAGGTACGAAACACTTTTGTTATGATGACTTTCTCGTTTTGATGGGAAATTATATTGGCCTATGCCGTTGGGCTCTCATAGCTGGGATGTTGGATGTTTGGTAGTGTTGATGCCTAAGATGACATGGTTCAATCCTGGTCGGACGGGAGATTGTCAATTGTCAATTCTTAGGAAGAAGAGATATCCCTTTGTCTCCAATACCCTTGAGAGTTATGTTTCGTCGTATTTGTTCTTTCGTTTTGATGCTTCTTCATTATTGCTGCGTGGCTGCTTCAAGCTGCTCTAGCAGCCACAGCACAGCATATCAACCTACATCTACATCAAACTGGGACTTGGAGCATGGAGATGCCCTATGTTGACATCATTGTTGATTTAGGTGGATCCAAAGACATCATCAAGGACAACAAGTGAGTTCCTCCAATGATATCGTCTAGTAATTACTGACGGCTACGAAATATAGGTATGGGCTGAATCCCGATGACATAAGAACTGATCTTACCCCCGGGAAGGGTAGGCCGCAATGGATATTTACCTGCTACGGGCCAGGCAAGAATGCTCCCGTACAGCTCTTCGGAGGCCCTCAGCGGGAACAGAGTTTTGAAGAGATGCGTGCGTTACATTATGCCGCCGCTGCAGCTGGAAACGCCCAGCAGGCAGTGCAGGATGCAATGAAGCTCTACGCTGAAACAGAAGCCCAGATACAAACCATCCTTAACGATATAGAAGGGGCGGTCAGGTATATCATGCAGGGCGAGAACACTCATCCAAACCGTATTGATATCATTGAAGGGAAAACAGGCCCTTCACCAACGCCTTTCGGCCAGTCTTCGCCTTTTGCACAGGCTTCAACAGGACCGTCGACAGCAACCCCTTCACCATTCAGCCAGCAATCGACATTCGGAAAGCCTTCATTTGGTCAACCTACCCCCTTCGGCCAACCCTCAACCGTGGGAGCCGCTGCACAACCCAACCCCTTTGGGCAACCTGCTGGTCCACCACCATTCGCCCAGTCACCATTTTCGCAGGCTACACAAACGCAGGCCAATCCTTTCAGCAAGCCAAGCACAGGCTCTTCCCCTTTCGCGCAGATCAAACAGCCGAACCAGCAACAGCAACCCAACCCATTTGGCCAACCATTCGGTCAACCACAGCCACCACAACAACAAAATCCATTCGGCCAACCGCACCAGCAGCCGCAGACGCAGCAACAGACACCAAATCCCTTCGGTACACCCCAATCTCAGAATGCATCCACAGCCGGCCAACCTTCCCTTTCCCCCTTCGCCTCGAAAACCCCTGTCCAGCCCACAAACCAACAAAGTCCGTTCTCCACAGCACCTCCACCCACCTCCACCACCGCCACGCTCCCCCAAAAAGCCAAGCCACACCTCAACCCCTTCCCAGTCCTCCACGGCGAAACCCGACGCGACCCAGGAACCAATCGCCTCCTTTCCTGGAAGGGCCAGGCAGTAAAGTACATTGACAACGAACCTTGCTACCAGCATCCGAATGACGCGGGGACCTTTGTGCGTATATATTTCCCCGATGGCCCTCCAAAGCCGGAGACGCTGAGGGATACAGAGGCAAAGACAGAGGAGTATACGGCGGAGACCGAGGCGATTTATAGGTTTGTGAGGGAGCATGGGGGTTTTGGCATTGGGGGTGGAGAGGCGTCCAACATGAAAGTGAAAGTGCCGGACGTGCCCCCTAGGGTGGAGTGGTGTGGGTTTGATTTGTAAATTGGAGGAGGGGATGGGATTTTTGTAGGATTGTGTATTTAATTTTAATTTTGGGACGGCTTTTCTACTGGTTGAAAGGGCGTGATGGGTTTTGCGATTTCCCACTTCCTGTTCATGTATTGATTCTTTTGTTCGGGTCTGTTGGATACCTTTTTGCTTCTTCCTAATTTGCCAAATTACTGACTGTAGATAGACGTGGATTTATGTACTCAATATCCGGTGAATAGTTTATAGATGCGGGTGATTGCTATGGCGTTAATTTGGATGTACTGGGGAGTTCCCTGCTGTTTTTAATATATCTGACTGGAGGTTCTAGATTATCAGATATTACGAAGGTATCCATGATGCAGAACCAAGAATGAAAAGAATACTATCCGGGAAGCATGCAATTTTCATATTTGAACGCTTTTCTTTCCGTTCTCTTCCATTCCGGATTACCAGGGCCGTGTATATACATTGAGAGCAACAGACGCACTCCACCTCCGTCCGCCCAAGTGAATAGTGAATATCCTCGGATTCAGACAGTAAATGTCGTCCTAGTTTTATTCTTTTTATACCAGAACCCGAATCCCTTCCGAGAAAAGATACCTGGTAACAAAAATATTTTTTAACCCGCAGCATATCGTACCCCCGGTAATCCACGCGCATCAACCAGTCAATACGCCATCCCTTTTACGGGATAGAGAAGAAGCCGCATGAGGAAAAACTGCTTCTATGCGGCAATGGTAACCTCAACCTCAACACCAGCCTCGATGTTGATGATAATCTGCTTAACGGTTTCGGTAGGGGCGTGCAGACTGTTTTCGAAAAACCGCATTCGTCAGCTCTTCCATTACCTTCCTGGTTCCCTAATTTCCTACACCTTTGGAAAAAAAAAAGAGAAAAAATAACAAACACCAGCCAATGCATAATGGAAATGCAACTCACTCAATCAATCGCTTGTGGATGCGCATCTCGTACATATCCCAGGTCTTGCTTCCCTCGCCGTTGGGGGTCTTGCGGGTGGAGATCTTCAGGGTCTTGGTGGGGAGTCTGACTGGGCCTTTAACATTGAGCGATTTGCTGCGTGCGCGGTCAATGAGCTCCTGGCACACTTTCTCGAGCGAGGCGACCTTGCGCGAGGTGAGGGTGATGCGGATCTTGTGGATTTTCTGTTTGTGGCCATCACGGCGTTAGTTTGGTGCGTTTGTAGAGTGATAACTCGAAACGACGCAGGGTTGTGAATCAAATGATGAAAATGGAGGTATATATCGCACACGGGAATAGAGATGGGAACACGTACGGGGCCTTCGCCGAAGTCTTTCTCGGGCTTTTGGAACGACATGGTGATGAATTCTATATGATCGTTACATGTTAGCTTGTTTGTCGCCCTGGGACGTCTGTTGGGATACTCTAGGAGAGTCGGGAGGCAATTGACGTACAGTGACTTATCGGCGGGATGCCAATCAAGACCTGAACAATGGAAGTTCGGTAAGGTGATGAAAGGCTGATGCTTCGTGGGGAAAGGAGTTGTGTTTGACCGTGAGAAGTTGTTCGCCAAAACGGAACTTGGGATGGATTTTTGATAAGCGGGCGATTGTGGGCGGAAGTCTTGGCGTTCGCTTAGATAAGGGACAGTGCTGACTAATCTCCTATCGTTCCCAACTCCCGATTTTATTATTTGCGGCCACAGCAATAGAGACGGGATTGCACGAGATCCTTATTTTATTCCCTCCCTTGGGGGATCCCCTTTCTCCTCTTTTCTGCGTGTGCCTGGCAGACACGGCCGCATCGTTGCCAAAGACAGGAGGAGCAAGGAAATGCATACATTGCACCATGGAGCACACTCCACTTCCCCCGCTGGCCCCATTCCCCCCTGCAACTGTCCGAAGCCTCCTCCACAGTGAGGAATGGGGCGCCTGTCTAGACGCCTGGATAGCTCTGCTTGAGTTACGTTTGGAGATACCCAAAGACGTGTTTCAATCGTCAGTCGCCAAAGATGACTCATCACGCAGATTCCTAGCTTCTTTCCTCCAGGAAGCGGTAATAGGGGATGGTCTTGGTGCCGATACAAAATTGAAAACCCTAAGACGACTATGTTTTCTCCTTACAAGGAGGCAGATGCTAGAGGTTCATCCGCCGCCTTCTGAGCTTCTGGATTGGGAATTCCTTGCATTATTTTGCCGGGGGTATATATCTAGCCAGGCGACGAGGACACTCTTGGCTCAGTTATGGGATCAAGAATCACAGTCTCTTAGTGTCAGTATCGAGAAAGGGAAAGCGCTGGTAATGAGTGATCTATCAACTGCTTCTATGGTTGCGGAAACAACTGCGAGGGCAGAAAAATATCTGCGATCGCTCACCTTCCTGGCATTGGCGGTTCCCAAGGCCGGTCTACTTCTAATGACTGGCTCAGATTACATTGATACGCTGTTTGATGCGTATAAAAATCATTGTAGCATGAACGGCAATCTCGAAAATCTTAAGAAGACTATTGTGGCTAATGCCTACGTGGGTTTTGCGTCACTGCTGAAAGTGGAACCCCCCGCGAGATCTTTACTTCTGGATCAGCTATTTAGTCTGAAATCGGCCGCCAGAGTGGATGCGAAGGGATCGAAGAGGGACCCAACATTATTGTCAGATATAATATGCAGTACCAATTTACTAGGAAAGATGGGAGAACTGTTTGTTGGCGCCAGCCAGAAAAGAGGGCAGAATCTCGTTTCTTCGCTGCGC